ACGTCTAAATGAAGAAACACATTTACCGTCATTCATTCAGTCACTGTGTTGTGGGAAGTGTGTTGACGTCACAGCTCAGATGACTTTTTGAACTACAGTGTTGTCACCTCACCTTGTTCAAAGTGCAGGCACTGTGTTTACCACTACACGACTCAAATCCTTTCGTAACAGTTTGCTTACACTCCAACAACACACCAAGTCGTAAAAAAACACTTATTTCTACTTACTCAGATTTAACAAACTCACACAAGGTTGTCTGATGTTCAAGCCACTAGCACTGAAGACCCTATTTACCCACTCCCTCCTGCCCTTCCTGGGACGACCCCTGACTCTCATCTACCACAAATTTATACACCTTCTTGTACTGCCTCATCCTTTCTCAATGTTCAGAGAACTTTAACAACACCTCAGTTGTCTGAGTTAAACCTTTAGTAGCCTCACAGCTTGTAACTTGTGTGCTCTCAAACACAAGATATTTGCTGCCTTCGGCCTCCTCCTCGCTACATATAAAACGCCATGCTTCACATGCTTCACATGCTTCACATGCTTCACATGCTTCACATGCTTCACATGCTTCACATGCTTCACATGCTTCACATGCCTCACATGCCTCACATGCCTCACATGCTTCACATGCTCACATGCCCTTCACATGCTTCACATGCTTCACATGCTTCACATGCTTCACATGCTTCACATGCTTCACATGCCTCACATGCCTCACATGCTTCACATGCTTCACATGCCTCACATGCTTCACATGCTTCACATGCTTCACATGCTTCACATGCTTCACATGCTTCACATGCCTCACATGCCTCACATGCCTCACATGCCTCACATGCCTCACATGCTTCACATGCTTCACATGCCTCACATGCTTCACATGCTTCACATGCTTCACATGCCTCACATGCCTCACATGCCTCACATGCTTCACATGCCTCACATGCCTCACATTCTTCACATGCTTCACATGCTTCACATGCTTCACATGCTTCACATGCCTCACATGCTTCACATGCCTCACATGCTTCACATGCTTCACATGCTTCACATGCTTCACATGCTTCACATGCTTCACATGCCTCACATGCCTCACATGCTTCACATGCTTCACATGCCTCACATGCCTCACATGCCTCACATGCTTCACATGCTTCACATGCTTCACATGCCTCACATGCTTCACATGCCTCACATACTTCACATGCCTCACATGCTTCACATGCTTCACATGCTTCACATGCCTCACATGCCTCACATGCTTCACATGCTTCACATGCCTCACATGCCTCACATGCTTCACATGCTTCACATGCTTCACATGCTTCACATGCCTCACATGCTTCACATGCTTCACATGCTTCACATGCTTCACGTGCTTCACATGCCTCACATGCTTCACATGCTTCACATGCTTCACATGCTTCACATGCCTCACATGCCTCACATGCTTCACATGCTTCACATGCTTCACATGCTTCACTGCTCACATGCTCACATGCTTCACCATGCTCACATGCCTTTACATGCTTCACATGCTCACATGCTCACATGCCTCACATGCTTCACGCTTCACATGCTTACTGCCTCACATGCTTCACATGCTTCACATGCTTCACATGCTTCACATGCTTACACTTGCTCACATGCTTCACATGCTTCACATGCTTCACATGCTTCACATGCTCACATGCTCACATGCCTTCACATGCTTCACATGTCTTCACATGCTTTCACATGCCTCACATGTCCATGCTCACATGCTTCACATGCTTCACATGCCTCACATGCTTCACATGCTTCACATGCTCACATGCTTCACATGCTTCACATGCCTCACATGCTTCACTCCATGCCTCACAGCTTCACATGCCTCACATGCTTCACATGCTTCACATGCTTCACATGCTTCACATGCTTCTACATGCTCTCCATGCTTCACATGCTTCACATGCTTCACATGCCTCACATGCTTCACATGCCACATGCTTCACATGCTTCACATGCTTCACATGCTTCACATGCTTCACATGCCTCACATGCTTCACATGCTTCAACATGCTCTTCACATGCCTCACATGCCTCACATGCTTCACATGCTTCACATGCTCACATGCCAATCACATGCTTCACATGCCTCACATGCCTCACATGCTCCATCATGCTTCACATGCCTTTCACATGCCTCCACATGCTTCACATGCTTCACATGCTTCACATGCCTCACATGCTTCACATGCTTACACATGCTTCACATGCTTCACATGCTTCACATGCCTCACATGCCTCACATGCCTCACATGCCTCACATGCTTCACATGCTTTCACATGCTTCACATGCCTCACATGCCTCACATGCTTCACATGCTCACATGCTTCACATGCTTCACATGCTTCACATCTCAATGCCTCACATGCTTCACATGCTTCACATGCTTCACATGCCTCACATGCTTCACATGCCTCACATGCTTCACATGCTTCACATGCTTCACATGCTTCACATGCTTCACATGCTTCACATGCCTCACATTGCTTCACATGCTTCACATGCTTCACATGCCTCACATGCTTCACATGCTCACATCACTGCCTTGCTCACATGCTTCACATGCTTCACATGCTTCACATGCCTCACATGCCTCACATGCTTCACATGCTACATGCCTCACATGCTTCACATGCTTCACATGCTTCACATGCTCACATGCTTCACATGAGTCCATGCTCACATGCTTCACATGCTTCACATGCTTCACATGCTCATGCCTCACATGCCTCACATGCTTCACATGTGCTTCACATGCTTCACATGCCTCACATGCCTTCACATGCCTCACATGCTTCACATGCTTCACATGCCCTCACATGCCTCACATGCTTCACATGCTTCACATGCCTCACATGCCTTCACATGCCTCACATGCTTCACATGCTTCACATGCCACTTCACATGCTTCACATGCTTCACATGCTCACTTTCACATGCTTCATCCACATGCTTCACATGCTTCACATGCTCACATGCTTCACATGCTCAATTCACTCACTGCTTCACATGCTTCACATGCTTCACATGCTTCACATGCCCAGTTCACATGCCTCACATGCTTCATGTCACATGCTTCACATGCTTCACATGCTCACATGCTTCACATGCTTCACATGCTTCACATGCCTCACATGCTTCACATGCTTCACATGCCTCACATGCTTCACATGCTCCATGCTCACATGCTTCACATGCCTTCACATGCTTCACATGCTTCACATGCCTCACATGTCCTCTACATGCCTCACATGCTTCACATGCTTCACTCATGCTTCACATGCTTCACATGCCTCACATGCTCACATGCTTCACATCCTCACATGCTTCACATGCTTCACATGCTTCACATGCCTCACATGCTTCACATGCCTCACATGCTTCACATGCTTCACATGCTTCACATGCTTCACCATGCCTCACATGCTCACACTCACATGCTTCACATGCCTCACATGCTTCACATGCTTCACATGCTTCAACATGCCTCACATGCTTCACATGCTCACATGCTTCACATGCTTCACATGCCTCACATGCTTCACATGCTTCACATGCTTCACATGCCTCACATGCTTCACATGCTTCACATGCTTCACATGCTCACATTGCTTCACATGCCTCACATGCTTCACATGCTTCACATGCTTCACATGCTTCACATGCTTCACATGCTCACATGCTTCACATGCTTCACATGCTTCACATGCCTCACATGCCTCACATGCTTCACATGCTTCACACCCACATGCTTCACATGCCTCACATGCTTCACATGCTTCACATGCTTCACCATGCTTCACATATCACATGCTTCACATGTTCAGCATGTCTTCACATGTTCACATTCACATGCTCCATGCTTAACAGCTTCACATGCCTCACATGTTACCTTTACCATGCTTCACATGTCTTCAACATGCTTCACAATGCTTCAATGCCTTCAATGCCTCACATGTTCACATGCTCACATGCCTCACATGTCTTCACATGCTTCACATGTTCACTGCTTCACATGCTTCCACACTGCCTCACAAACTGTCACACTTCATGTGTTCACATGCTCACATGTTCACATGCTTCACATGCCATACCGCTGACTGCTCACATGCTCACATGCCTCACATGTTCAATGCTCACATGCTCACATGCTTCACATGCTTCACAGCTCACTGACTTCAATGCTCACATGCATTCACATCTTCACATACTAAGTTGTTGGCATATATGTCTACTACATTGTATTATTTATGTTCCACAAATACAGTCCTCGTCTCCGCAGTGTGCAAACGCACCTCACCACAACTGTTCATCACTGTAATTCCAAACTGTTCACTCGTCTTTCATAGATTCGTTACCAACAACATCTATCGAAATATCTATACGTCTCAGTCACACTGTCAATCATTCATTGCCGAATACTTTGTTATTCTCATCACCTTGCTCTTTCCTATGTTCACTTTTATTTTTCGTGTTTTTACACAGCCTTCCAACCTCCTCCACCAAACTTGTCAACTTCTCGTAAGAATCTCCCAAAAACATCGACTCATCAGTAAAAAGCGACTCCCACTTTAAATAACAAAAAGGCACAATACCGTGACTGGAACGATACACAAATAACCCGCACATAAAAGAGAGAAGCTTACGACGACGTTTCGGTCCGACTTGGACTATTTACAAAGTCACACAGTGTGACTTTGTAAATGGTCCAAGTCCGACCGAAACGTCGTCGTAAGCTTCTCTCTTTTATGTGCGGGTTATTTGTATGACTCCCACTTTGTATTAAATCCATAACCTGTCAGTGCCACAACTGTGCCAACACCTGTCAGTGCCACAACTGTACCAACACCTGTCAGTGCCACAACTGTACCAACACCTGTCAGTGCCACAACTGTGCCAACACCTGTCAGTGCCACAACTGTACCAACACCTGTCAGTGCCACAACTGTGCCAACACCTGTCAGTGCCACAACTGTACCAACACCTGTCAGTGCCACAACTGTGCCAACACCCAGGCCAGTGATCATTGCTTCTACAACACCATCTCTAAATGTTGGGTGATCTATAGTATGATGTTAGTGTTGCATGACACAGTGTGTGATGTTAGTGTTGCATGACACAGTGTGTGATGTTAGTGTTCCATGACACAGTGTGTGGTGTTAGTGTTGCATGATACAGTGTGTGATAGTGTTGCATGACACAGTGTGTGATGTTAGTGTTGCATGACACAGTGTGTGATAGTGTTGCATGACACAGTGTGTGATGTTAGTGTTGCATGACACAGTGTGTGATAGTGTTGCATGACACAGTGTGTGATGTTAGTGTTGCATGACACAGTGTGTGATGTTAGTGTTGCATGACACAGTGTGTGATGTTAGTGTTGCATGACACAGTGTGTGATGTTAGTGTTGCATGACACAGTGTGTGATAGTGTTGCATGACACAGTGTGTGATGTTAGTGTTGCATGACACAGTGTGTGATAGTGTTGCATGACACAGTGTGTGATGTTAGTGTTCCATGACACAGTGTGTGGTGTTAGTGTTGCATGATACAGTGTGTGATAGTGTTGCATGACACAGTGTGTGATGTTAGTGTTGCATGACACAGTGTGTGATAGTGTTGCATGACACAGTGTGTGATGTTAGTGTTGCATGACACAGTGTGTGATAGTGTTGCATGACACAGTGTGTGATGTTAGTGTTGCATGACACAGTGTGTGATGTTAGTGTTGCATGACACAGTGTGTGATGTTAGTGTTGCATGACACAGTGTGTGATGTTAGTGTTGCATGACACAGTGTGTGATAGTGTTGCATGACACAGTGTGTGATGTTAGTGTTGCATGACACAGTGTGTGATAGTGTTGCATGACACAGTGTGTGATGTTAGTGTTGCATGACACAGTGTGTGATGTTAGTGTTGCATGACACAGTGTGTGATGTTAGTGTTGCATGACACAGTGTGTGATGCTAGTGTTGCATGACACAGTGTGTGATGTTAGTGTTGCATGACACAGTGTGTGATAGTGTTGCATGACACAGTGTGTGATGTTAGTGTTGCATGACACAGTGTGTGATGTTAGTGTTGCATGACACAGTGTGTGATGTTAGTGTTGCATGACACAGTGTGTGATGTTAGTGTTGCATGACACAGTGTGTGGTGTTAGTGTTGCATGACACAGTGTGTGATAGTGTTGCATGACACAGTGTGTGATGTTAGTGTTGCATGACACAGTGTGTGATGTTAGTGTTGCATGACACAGTGTGTGATGTTAGTGTTGCATGACACAGTGTGTGATGTTAGTGTTGCATGACACAGTGTGTGATGTTAGTGTTGCATGACACAGTGTGTGATGTTAGTGTTGCATGACACAGTGTGTGGTGTTAGTGTTGCATGACACAGTGTGTGATAGTGTTGCATGACACAGTGTGTGATGTTAGTGTTGCATGACACAGTGTGTGATGTTAGTGTTGCATGACACAGTGTGTGATGTTAGTGTTGCATGACACAGTGTGTGATGTTAGTGTTGCATGACACAGTGTGTGATGTTAGTGTTGCATGACACAGTGTGTGATGTTAGTGTTGCATGACACAGTGTGTGATGTTAGTGTTGCATGACACAGTGTGTGATGTTAGTGTTGCATGACACAGTGTGTGATGTTAGTGTTGCATGACACAGTGTGTGATGTTAGTGTTGCATGACACAGTGTGTGATGTTAGTGTTGCATGACACACTGTGATGATGTTAGTGTTGCATGACACAGTGTGTGATGTTAGTGTTGCATGACACAGTGTGTGATGTTAGTGTTGCATGACACAGTGTGTGATGTTAGTGTTGCATGACACAGAACCTCAGTATAGAGTGTTGGATGAGGTACGGGTGAGGAGCATCAGGTGACGGCCAGGTCACAGCATCTGCTGTGACCTGGCCGTCACCATAGCAACATCCCCAACCTTGCCAGACACTGCCACCACGCTCATCTTCTACCTCCTCTCTCTACCCAGTAGCTAGGAGCAGTCCTAGCCTCCTAGGATGTGTTAATGGTCTTCACACAGTAGCTAGGAGCAATCCTAGCCTCCTAGGATGTTAATGGTCTTCACACAATAGCTAGGAGCAGTCTCAACACAGTAGCTAGGAGCAGTCTCCACAAGGTAGCTAGGAGCAGTCTCCACACAGTAGCTAGGAGCAGTACCCACAAGGTAGCTAGGAGCAGTCTTCACACAGTAGCTAGGAGCAGTCCCCACAAGGTAGCTAGGAGCAGTCCCCACAAGGTAGCTAGGAGCAGTCTCCACACAGTAGCTAGGAGCAGTCCCCACAAGGTAGCTAGAAGAAGTCTTCACACAGTAGCTAGGAGCAGTCTTCACACAGTAGCTAGGAGCAGTCTTCACACAGTAGCTAGGAGCAGTCTCCACACAGTAGCTAGAAGCAGTCTCCACACAGTAGCTAGGAGCAGTCTTCACACAATAGCTAGGAGCAGTCTTCACACAGTAGCTAGGAGCAGTCATCACACAGTAGCTAGGAGCAGTCTTCACACAGTAGCTAGAAGCAGTCTTCACACAGTAGCTAGAAGCAGTCTTCACACAGTAGCTAGGAGCAGTCTCCACACAATAGCTAGGAGCAGTCTTCACACAGTAGCTAGGAGCAGTCTCTACACAGTAGCTAGGAGCAGTCTCCACACAGGAGCTAGGAGCAGTCTTCACACAGTAGCTAGGAGCAGTCTTCACACAGTAGCTAGAAGCAGTCTTCACACAGTAGCTAGGAGCAGTCTTCACACAGTAGCTAGGAGCAGTCTCCACACAGTAGCTAGGAGCAGTCTTCACACAGTAGCTAGAAGCAGTCTCCACACAGTAGCTAGAATCAATCTTCACACAGTAGCTAGGAGCAGTCTCTACACAGTAGCTAGGAGCAGTCTCCACACAGGAGCTAGGAGCAGTCTTCACACAGTAGCTAGGAGCAGTCTTCACACAGTAGCTAGAAGCAGTCTTCACACAGTAGCTAGGAGCAGTCGTCACACAGTAGCTAGGAGCAGTCTTCACACAGTAGCTAGGAGCAGTCTTCACACAGTAGCTAGAAGCAGTCTCCACACAGTAGCTAGGAGCAGTCTTCACACAGTAGCTAGAAGCAGTCTCCACACAGTAGCTAGGAGCAGTCTTCACACAGTAGCTAGGAGCAGTCTTCACACAGTAGCTAGAAGCAGTCTCCACACAGTAGCTAGGAGCAGTCTTCACACAGTAGCTAGGAGCAGTCTTCACACAGTAGCTAGAAGCAGTCTCCACACAGTAGCTAGAAGCAGTCTCCACACAGTAGCTAGGAGCAGTCTTCACACAGTAGCTAGGAGCAGTCTCCGCACAGTAGCTAGGAGCAGTCTTCACGCAGTAGCTAGAAGAAGTCTCCACACAGTAGCTAGAAGCAGTCTCCACACAGTAGCTAGGAGCAGTCTTCACACAGTAGCTAGGAGCAGTCTTCACACAGTAGCTAGGAGCAGTCTTCACACAGTAGCTAGAAGCAGTCTCCACACAGTAGCTAGGAGCAGTCTTCACACAGTAGCTAGAAGCAGTCTCCACACAGTAGCTAGAAGCAGTCTCCACACAGTAGCTAGAAGCAGTCTCCACACAGTAGCTAGAAGCAGTCTCCACACAGTAGCTAGAAGCAGTCTCCTCACACAGTAGCTAGAAGCAGTCTCCACACAGTAGCTAGAAGCAGTCTCCACACAGTAGCTAGAAGCAGTCTCCACACAGTAGCTAGGAGCAGTCTTCACACAGTAGCTAGAAGCAGTCTCCACACAGTAGCTAGAAGCAGTCTCCACGCAGTAGCTAGAAGCAGTCTCCACACAGTAGCTAGAAGCAGTCTCCACACAGTAGCTAGGAGCAGTCTTCACACAGTAGCTAGGAGCAGTCTTCACACAGTAGCTAGAAGCAGTCTCCACACAGTAGCTAGAAGCAGTCTCCACACAGTAGCTAGGAGCAGTCTTCACACAGTAGCTAGGAGCAGTCTCCGCACAGTAGCTAGGAGCAGTCTTCACGCAGTAGCTAGAAGCAGTCTCCACACAGTAGCTAGAAGCAGTCTCCACACAGTAGCTAGGAGCAGTCTCCACACAGTAGCTAGGAGCAGTCTTCACACAGTAGCTAGGAGCAGTCTTCACACAGTAGCTAGGAGCAGTCTTCACACAGTAGCT